TATATATATATATGAGTGTGTGTGTGTGTGTATGTTTACTGTGAACAGAGATTTGCTATTAATAATTACAATCGATTAACGTCATTATTAATAATTATTAATGGCGAACATTAATATTCATGATACACAGAATTATGTACATCAGCCATATCGTGATGAACAACATTGAGTATCAGTATGAGCTTTCCAAATTATTTGCAACAATTGAAATCCGAGGTTTGTTATGATTGAATCGTTTTTGGTGGATTAAAATACTTCGTAATTTTTGTTGTTTTTCGTTTTGTTTCCACCATGAGTTTTAAATGACGTATATACCAACACATCTACACTTTCTCTTGGGGCCAGTACCATCAAAATCAATGCCCTCAATGCACGCCGTCACACACACATACACACACACACACACAGGCACTCACCCACCCCTCTAATGCTCACAGGAAAGCGCGGAAGAGTTCCTTACCGTGAGGTCAGCCCGCTGTCGGCGCCTGCAGACCTGCGGACAAACAGAAGCAAAGGCCATTAGAAGCTGTTACGAGGGCGGAGCAGAGTACCGTCTCCACAGCGAGCTCACACACACACACACACACACACACACACACACACACACACAGAGGCGGGGGGAACTAATGATAATGATTTAGAGGCGAGCGCTCGGGGTGAAACGAAAATTGCCACCCCCGCGCGCAACGGCACGCGAGGCAGGCCTACCAACCGCACGGGGCGAAAGTCGATGCGTCCGGCGCCCGAAGGACGGGGAGGAGGAGGAGGAGGAGCTGGTATGGATCCGCTGTAATGACCGTCCCTTGGGAAGTAGCTCGAAGGGCTACGGCATAGGGTACGAAAGGGACAGCAGAGGAACTCGAGTGGCTTTGATCCGCACGCCACACACGGTTTATGAAATGTCCAACATAACATTTTCATGTACTTGTAATTTCGTATTCTTTCGGCGATTTTTTTTTGGTCAGAACTTGCAAACGAAACAATCTGTCGGACTGGAAGTGAGGAATCCGGTTTTCTTGGAAATTGAAACCATTATATTTCTCCTTTTAATGCGTTAATGTGTCTGGAATGTTTCCGCCTCTTAAATCGAGAAATTCTTACCCTGGTGTAGAGATTCACAGAGGTCCCCACTTTGCTACCATAAAGGTGAATTTAGCGAGAAGACGGGTTGGGGGCAGCCGCGCCGCGCGGGCTCTTGGGAGTTAGAGGCTCGATTCCTCCCGATCAAGGCACTGTAGTGACATCAATTGATGCCCTTAGCCATCCTGCTCGGTGTGAGCTGGCAAGGCCGCCCATCCAGGTTATATTTAGATACATTCATCGCGTCCCGGCACATCCAGATACCAGCAGAACCACGTATTTGTACACCCGTAGGGATGAGAGGATAAGAGCAATGTTCAGGACCCCACCACCCCCACCTGATAAACATGGAAGCCGCGAGGAGTAGAACACCGCCAAAGGTATCGTCGCCTGCCAACTCCCACCTTCGACCTCTGGCGCGAGCAGCGCTGGGCGCGGCTTCGTGGGCTGACAGGCTCTGCGGTCGACGCGAGCTTCGGCGCGAATTTGTGGAGCTCTCGCGAAATTAAATTGCGGTCGACCGCCGCGCGCTGCTTGTCCTGGATCAGCGCTGAAGTGAGTTAAAGTTTTAAAACGAACGCCGCGGCCACCACAAATGAGCCACAGAACGCGGCGTCCTGACATTCCGAAAGAGCTCTACCGACCCGCGATATTCGCAGCTCCGATGTTTAAATGGCGACAGGAGTTGACGTTGTCTCGGAGTGACACGTGGGTTCTAATTCAACTGAATAACGGGGTTCTAATTCCGGTCGAATCTTGTGGACTTTGTGGTGGACAAAGCGGGTTCGCTGCAGATTTTTTTTGGGTTCTCCCATCTGTCCACGCTACAAACACAATGAGAAGAAATACCTGCAATATGCGACATGAATTGCAGTAAAGTGCTCCGCGTACTTAGACGATGCCTCAAGCCTCAGAAATACTTAGACCATCTAAATATCTTCACATAGAGGCTACCAGTACTTTAGCAGACTACTTCTCGAATCCACCAGTGACCAACGTACATTCAAAAGTTTTGAAGCCTTTAATACCATAACTATATCTTTAATGCATTAATATTAAGGTTCCGCAATGAGAAGACGGCATTGTGTAAATGATACTATAAAAGAAAGCAAAGAGATTCACAAAGACAGTATGAAAATATATTTTGTAGTATTCTCGTTGGTTGCGATCAACATGTGTGTGGAAATTACACCCACCGGTTTGCCAAATAAACGTGGTAAAACACTGGATGGAGTCTTAAGTTTTCCTCACCCAGCGGTTTACGAGCGAGAAGAAAACACTAACGTGTGTGAAATTACCTTTCCACGAATTTCCACCGAAATGTTTTTGTGAGGGAATATTTGTATTACTTTGTATTCAACTGAAACTTTTTGATAGTATGCTTTGGAAGTCCAATGAGATGGATGTAAACTAGCAGCACTTTTCATGTGTGCAGTTTAGATTTTGCGTAGAGGAACTTCTGTTTTGATCAAGGAGACTCAAAAAATAAGAGCGTAAAAAGTAGAGAACTTTTTGTTTGTGTATGAGCAGTGTAAACAAAGTTGAACGTCGTTCATCTTTCATATTATGCTATTAAAATCTACATTATTTTGTTTTCAGGAGCATTCCCGTTCAAACGGGTTGTACATCTCGGTTCAAGCGATTTTCATTGAAATAAACTGAAATAATATGAGCTTTTTAACAATGCACTTCGTAATCTAACTTCAGATACTTTTCATCAATTAGTCAAAATTCACAAGTGATTTGTGCATTCCTACAGACCTAACAAACGAGCTAGGTAAGGGTTAAAATAAATTAATTAAAATATTTATTACATTTTTGCAGACTTCTTTTCCTTGGTCGTTTGTTTTAGTATATTTGCAGGCAAAAGAGACCAAATACCATAGAGTAGTAGAAATGCCGTGTAATTTTAAAATAACTAAAACAATACAATTTAGTAATAATCACAGAGATACCGTAAAACAGTGAAACTTGACTTAAGCGGTCACCAATCGTTCCGGTAAAAATGATCGTTTATGAAAGTGACCGCTTAATCAATGTTATGAGTTGATGGGAAGCGTCAACTAATAGTTTCCGGGAAGGGTTAATTAAAGAGCATATTAAATCTTCAATATTAGCTATTAAAGATGAACTTTCTATGTTACTGTATTTACTAAAAATGTGCGAGTAATTTTATCACAAAATGGAATTAAATTCATGAGAAAATAGTAGTAGTAACTTTTTTTGTAAGCCACAAAACATAAATTTTCAATGTGGTTTCCTCCAATAACACAATGTTATTTAAGAAATACGAAGTAAAAGCGCATTCTTAAGAAAAACCTGAAACGCACGCGGCGCAGAAAATGCAATTAGGAAATCAAGTTCTACACAGAGGAAAAAAAACAACAACAAAAATCACAGCAACGCGATTCTTCGAGAGGCACTTCTTCACAAATGCATTGTTCCCTGGAACCCTTTCCCACGTACCCTCTTCCCGCCACTTCGCGAACCACTCGCAATCTCACTTTCCAAATGAATAGGCGCGCACACTCCGTTGCCCCCTCCCGTCTGGGGGGATGAGGTCTCCGCTTCACCCCCGCATTCCTCGTCAGCCTCATACCCCGCCGGATTAGACCCTTCACACACCGTTCACCTTCACCAGCTCGGCTGTGCTGCCAACTTACGCCAGCCAAAACTCACTATTCTGGGAAAGTAAACCCTTATAGTTTTTCGGAAAAAATGTTGACTTTACTGTTATGAAAAGAGCAAAGCTACAGGTATATCCTAAAATTGAATTTGAGATGAAATAATACCATTTTTGAAGTAATGAAAAAGGTAATATACTGAGCAGTTTTTTTGTTCCACCTACAAACAGTCCGATTATAATTCAGGTAAATATCCAGCGGCAACGAATTCAATGATGAGCACATTAACGAAGTTATATTTTGTTTCAAACGGGTTTGACATTTTAATGAGTTTCCGTAAATTTATTTCCACAAGAATTATGTAGCGAAGCTCCGCAGTGAAATGCAATCGGGACATATTGCACATATAATGAGATCTGAAAGATTAGTGGCATTCCTATAAAACGCGTCTTATTGATGAAAGAGATCTTGACAGACAACCGTCCATATGCCGCTAACTATAAAACAAAACTCCGTTAACCTTCACGTGAAAATTCTGTTTAAGGGAGATTAACAAATTTCTCTTTCTTTTTCATCATAAAAATAGGTTTCATGCAGCGTGGGCGAAGTAATCCACTTATCTGTAGGCCGGGCGGGTTTCACCCTCAAAATACAGTACGTAGGTTTCAGAGCTTTGTGCCACAACGAGCTAAATAATAGGATTTCCAACGCAGAGAGAGGTGCTGCTACGAAACAGAGACGAAACCCGAACACGCAGAAGGGTTAGAAGGGCGCTCGGGACGGAATTTACGTTACGCACGCCGACCCCGGAGCCCACGCGTTTGAAATAGCATGAGCTTCTTCGAAGACGCCGTTTATTAAAAGTAAAACTCGTTTAGGCTGCAGATTTACATTAAGAGCACGCGCCGCCGGCGACGAAGGGTTGTGGCGCAGCGTGGCGCGGCGGGGCGGGGCGGGGCCGGGCGAAGGGTCGAAGACGCGCAGGGCCGCGTGTAGAAGCGCAAGGAGAGGGGAATTCATCAAAGCCCAGGAGACGGCTTTCAGAAGGGGAGTTCATATATCAAAAGTGCCAGCGGGGAAGTGTCATCTTTGCTAATGGTTTCTATGGTCCGTTAGGTACGAATGACGAGTAAAACGCACGCTCGCGGGGAGAACAGACAGGAGTTATGCACGGACTTTCACATCCCCTCGGGATAGGCGCTTTCCAATAATGCTTTGCCGCGACGGCAAATGAGGGGGCTCGAGGCAAAAATCGATGCTAGGAAATTTTCGAATGGTATTCATTTAAACACGTAAACAATTAAATCATCTCTTATTAAAAGATATCACGTTTCTTCGCGATCAAATATAGGAATGAACATAAATAACACTGCTAAGTTACCCCAAACCATTGAATAAAGTCTTAAGAAATAACACGATTCACGTGGAGGAAGGTGTAAAAACACAATTACGACACAATTAACCTTTCGCATTCCAAAAACTTGAGATGCCAATCTTCTTGTTTGATAGTTTTTTGTAGGAGAGCTTTTGGGCTTTGTTCGTGAAAGATTTTCTCCGGTTGGAGGGATTTCCTCTCAAAATCAGATTAGGATAGTGAATATCTACAAAAAATGATATTAAGTTTCAGCAAAATGTGATTAAATACCCTTGCTGTTAGAATGCAGAATAGCATAACAATGAGAAAATAATTTGCTTTAAAACAATTCAGCGACTAGTTCAGTCAGTACAACTAGACAGAAAGCCTATAATTGATTAGCTGTTATGCACTGAAGAAAAGCCCACGAGAGAG